TTCTCAACTTTGTTGGAATTTCAGATTTTTGCTGAAAGAGAAGAAATCATAGGCATAGGGAAAAATTCAATTATGTAAAATCTGAGATGCAAAGCCATAGGCAAAAATCTAGTTAATTTAAAACTAGATAGGTAAAATCTGAAATAGCCATAATTGAGAAATCAGATTTTACATCATGTATAGCCAATCTTTCTTCTCTTCCAGATTTTACCTATCAATCTTCCTATAAGTTTTCAATCTTCCTATTAACTACTGAGATGCAAAGCCATAGGCATAGCCATAAGAAGATTGAAAACTCAATTATGTAAAATCTGATTTCTCAATAGTTTAGCTATACATGATAAATCACAATTATGTATCTCAATTTTACATCATGCAAAGCCATACTCTCTCTCAATTATGTATCTCATTTAGTTATCATAATTGAGACACATATGTATCATTGGCAATTATACATTATTGATTAGTGCATAGCCATAGGAAGACTGAAAACTGATTAGACTGATTAGTGCATATTCATTGAACTTATACATAACTGATTAGTGCATATTCACTGAACTTATTGTCAACTTGAATGTAGAATAATTATGAGACTAAACATGAAATTGAGTATGGGAATTGAGCATGGCCTTTTGACATACGAAGATTGAAAAAGTGGTGAATGTCCCTCTTAAATGCAGTCTTTATTCACTATACATCATGAGCTGAAATTATCTTTATTCACTAGTTTAACGAGGATAACTTGTTATTGCAGATGTCAAGTTCAACTGTCAATGGCAGTAGCTCAGATCGGTTGACGTACTTGAACAAGAATTGTCCTACATGTAATAAAAAGGTCACTATTCGAATTTTTGAGACCGATCGAAACAAAAACAAGTTATTCTACTCTTGTAATGGTTGTGGTACTTTCATTGGATGGTGTGTACCTGAATTCACAATGTGGAGATCATGAAATTCCAAGACAAGTAGAAAGAGAACTGCTAAGATCTATGACGAAACAAGTTCGAGCTATGACTGAACAACAAAGATCTATGACAGAACAACTTCGAGCTATGACCGAACAACTTCATTCTCTCATAGCAACTTGTATTGAAATCATCCCTAAAGCTAGTGTACGTGGTTTTGATGCATGTGTAGTTTCAAACCAAATCTTTCCTCCAACGAGGCAGAATGTATTTATTTGGCACCTCATTTATGCACCTTCTCACAAGCACCGCAAGTGAGTGAGCACACATAATGCCTCTAAATTGAAACAATCGACACATACATTGAACTTCACATTCAATTGAATTAAAATACACAACAAAGTCCACATGCTTCATCTTGTCACAAACTACCATCGCTTCTTGGACATTATATGTACAAATTGCTCCCTCCTCTTTGACAATCAAGGCCTGACAGTAAACTAATCTCTTAAACTGTCCTTGAACTTCTTTGAATTTTGCATTAGTGTAGGCTTGCTGAAATTGCTTCTCAAAGCCATATATAGTTAAACAATCAAACAATTTGTGTTGAGACTTGAAGTCTGATTTCTTCTCTTTCTCTACCTTACTTCTCAACACATTGTCATTTTGTTTTTACTGAATTTTTTTAATATTTTAAGCAATTTTTTTTTTTTTACTTTTTAAACATACCTAACATAAATATACTTAAAAAATAAAAATTTTGTGAAAAAACATTTTAAAATTTTAATAAATACATAAAAATGTAAAAAATGTACTGAATTCTCGTATTTTTTTTTATATTTTTGGTAATTTAGTGAATTTTTAAAAGATTTTTTTTACAATTTTTTTACTTTTTAGGTATATTTATGTTAGATATGTCAAAAAATCATACATTGAACTTCACATTCAATTGAATTAAAATACACAACAAAGTCCACATGCTTCATCTTGTCACAAACTACCATCGCTTCTTGGACATTATATGTACAAATTGCTCCCTCCTCTTTGACAATCAAGGCCTGACAGTAAACTAATCTCTTAAACTGTCCTTGAACTTCTTTGAATTTTGCATTAGTGTAGGCTTGCTGAAATTGCTTCTCAAAGCCATATATAGTTAAACAATCAAACAATTTGTGTTGAGACTTGAAGTCTGATTTCTTCTCTTTCTCTACCTTACTTCTCAACACATTGTCATTTTGTTTTTACTGAATTTTTTTAATATTTTAAGCAATTTTTTTTTTATACTTTTTAAACACACCTAACATAAATATACTTAAAAAATAAAAATTTTGTGAAAAAACCTGTAAAATTTCACTAAATACCAAAAATACAAAAAAAAAAAAACGAGAATTCAGTACATTTTTTTTTATAATAAAAAAATTTCACTAAATAACAAAAATACAAAAAAAAAAAACGAGAATTCAGTACATTTTTTTTTTATATTTTTACGTATTTGTTAATTCTTTAAAATAAATTTTCACAATTTTTTTACTTTTTAGATACATCTAAGTAAGGTGCATCTAAAAAAATTAAAAAAAAATGTTTAAAATTTTAAAAATATTCACTAAAAACAAAAAAACTAAAAAACTCAGTTTTCAAAAAATTTAATCCAAAAAACTCAAACCAAACACATTGAATATTACCACATTATTAGATTTTTTTGTATACAAATTTTTATATGAAAAAAGTTTTTTTATAAAATAAAAATACTATTAGTAGAGAATTTGTCACTATAATTTATAGGTTTCGTTTAGCAAGTGAGTTCGGACTAAAAGCCTACTAAAAGATAAAATAAGTTAAAAATTAATAAGATAAGATGTCACATTTAAATCATAATTATTATTTTTTTTTTCACAAAACTACAAAAATGCAAAAAGATCTTCCCAAACAGAACTTTTTTAGTCAGGTTAAAATAGCAAAAAAGTCAAGCTAATTTTTTTTTTCCCAAACGAAGGCTATATATCTAAAAATGTTAGAAATTTCAAATATTCTACCAAACACTCATACGAGTGTGGGTCCTGTATGGATGGGTTCTACATGCGAGTGTTTAATAAAATTTTGTTGCTAAAGATGCTAAATATTCTACCAAATATGAGTATGGGTCCTACACGAGGGTGGGTTTTAAATATTCAATAATTTGTATTGAATATTTGCAATTTTTATAGTCTATAAATAATTTTAAAGGTAAATTACAAATATAGTCTTCGAGTTTGTTTAAAATACAAATTGTTTAATGTGGTTTTGGAAATTACATAACAGTCATTGAAATTTCTAATTTCATAACAAATGACACATTTTATTAATAAATTATTAAGTAAATTCATAAGTTTTAATGATGTCAGACATTTATTTCAATTAATAATTTATGTAATTTTATTATTTTATAAGAGAATCAGTAAAAATTTTATTTTTTTAGTTAATTCTGTTAAATAAACAATTATGACAAAAAGAGTATTTTTAATTTTCACAAAAGGCAATTCATGTTTTAAGCAAGGGAAATCCTATGACGTGTACATACCATATGCACCATATCGCAAAAATGTGTAATTGTTATAAAATTTCATAATATCAATCACAAAATGTGCAGTCTTACCACAAATTGGTGTAACAGAATATCTAAAATTTTTGTTATTGATATTGTAAAAATTTGTGATTCGGTTACGACATTTTTTGTTATGCCAATTCGTTATAAAATTATACATTCTATAGTTGATATTATAAAATTTTGTGATAAAATTATATATTTTGTAATAGCGTGCATATAATATGCACCCCTAAAGGGATGCACACCATAGTATTTCTCTTTAAGCAAGTATCAATACTATATTTATAATTTATCTTAACAGCACTGCTATGTAACTCGAAAAATACTTGGTTCGAAATGGCTTGAATCCAAAACGACATCGTTTTTTATTTTTTATTTTTTTTTATTTTTTCCCTTTCTTTCTCTTTTCTCATAAGTTTCAGTCTACAAAGAAGAAGAAGAAGAAGAAAGAAGAGAGGAGAAGAGATTTGTTCTTGCTCTGTTTTTTTTTTCTTTAGCATCATCATCGTCAACAACACATCATCATCAACAACATATCTAGTCTTGCTCAGTTATTTTTTATTTTTTTATTTTTTCATAACTCATAAGAGAGAGAGAGAGAGAGAGAGAGAGAGAGAGATACACACACAGAGAGGTACATAGATCTGTATATATAGATATGTGTATACGCACAGGAGATGGTAGTGCCGGTGATGGCACTGGTGATGGCGACGCCGGCGATGGGTGCTCTCTCATTCCCTCCCTCTTATCTCTTTCTCTTCTGCTGTTTTCTCTCTATTCCTCTATTTGTTTCTGTGATATAAGGGGGGGAAAAAAAGAGCTCAAAACGACATCGTTTTAGGTAGTCGAGCCATTCGGGACAAAGAGATTTCGAGTTATGAAGGATTATTCTTTATCTTAATTTATGAGGTGTGATTAAAGAGCATTCCAACAATCTACTCTATTTATTTCTTAAAATATAATTAAAAAATTGATTTCTTATTTTAGGGAGTCACTTTTTCAACCACTTTATCCAACAATACTCTCTATTATTATTTCTCTATTCGATTTAAATATTATTTATTCATTATTTTTTAATTAAACGGTGGACAAATTATATTTCTTTATGATTTTTTAATTAAATTGTAGACAAATTATAAAATATTATTAGACAGACATATAGCCACGAGATTTTCAAATTATTAGATAATTTTTTATTATTAAGGACCCAAAAATCTAAAAATTTAAATTAAATAAATAAAAATCCAAATAAGAAGCAAAAATAAATTATTATTACTATTATCAGTGCAAAATAATAATTATATATGTTTGGAGAAGTTATGGTGGCTCCCTACAAATGGGGGAGTGACTGTATCAACCCTTAAATTTTGGGGAGTGGAGAGTTGGATAAGGGATCAGTTAAGTATAAGGGATCTGTTGGATTGGGATGTTTTAACACGTGTTTTTTTTGTCTCGTAGAGATGGAATTTATGAAAAGGCAACATAAACAAAGTAATCTGAAAACTAAACAACCAATGGAGATAGAGGTGTGTTTCCGTAAAATTACCAACTCTTGCAGTTGTCTACAGCGAGGTCTACTGATTCCCAGTGCTCCCTCACATCTACCCAATCCACAACGCTGACAATTCACTGACCAATCTCATATCATCACTGTAGGGAGCTACACCCATTTCACAGGATACTTTTTTCTCTTTTCTTTCTTATGGTTGTTGAATCTCTCTGTCTGGTTTTGATTATTGTTGTTTTGTCTGTTACCATTCAATGACTGTCTCTCTCTCTCTCTCTCTCTCTCTCTCTCACTGGCCTTTGTTCCTTACAATTTAATTTTAAAACTGTCAGAAAAGGAAACCTCGAAAAACATCAAATGGAAGATTGACACCGGTGAAGAGTTTTACTGCAACCCATAGGGTGTTTTGCCCAACTCTCACAACTGGGCCAGAAAATGATGGATTGATTCCATTTTGGTTCATTTCTTGGTTGAAACTTTCACAACTGGGTTTTGTTGGTGTTTCCAGAAAATGATGGATTGATTGCAATTTTGGTCCATTTCTTGGTTGAAACTTTCATAATTGGGTTTTGTGGGGGGCTGTTGTTTTTTTCTTCTTCTCCAGAACATGATGGATTGATTGCATTTTTGGTCCATTTTTTATTGATCATTGCTTAGAGTGTAGGGTTTTGTGAGTTTTGCTGGATCATGATGAATTGATTCCATTTTTGGTCAATTTCTTGATTGATTATTGCTGAGAATGAAGGGTTTTGTGGGTTTTGCCAGAACATGATGGATTGATTATATTTGGTCCATTTCTTGATTGACTATTGCTTAGAGTGAAGGGTTTAGTGGGTTGTGCCAGACACATGGTGGATTGATTCCATTTGGGTTCATTTCTTGATTGATTGTTGCTGATTGATTGTTGCTGAGGTTGTAGAATTTGGGGGCTATGGAAGAAGAGAGGATTGAGGAGATCAGTGTTAGGTTGGTGGGCAGAACTGGTGGTGGGGATGGATCTGCCTCTGCCCGGTGGGTTGATGGCAGTGAAGTGGACTCTGAGTCCCCTCCATGGTCACTGCTTGATGAAAATGAGAGTAGAGAATCTAGAGATGGGTATGGATCTGTCAGGAGAAGGTTAGTCAAGAAGCCCAAGAGGGTTGATTCATTTGATGTTGAAGCCATGGAAATTACTGGTTTTCAAGATCACCATGCCAAGGTCAAAACAGCCCCAACTTATTTAAAACCCTATTCATCTTCTAATAGTATATTGTTAGTAAAGTTTGGTTTTTCTTTCGATTTTATCATTTAGCATATCATTTATCTAATGTTGATATTAAAATTCAAAATTAGCAGTCTATAATTGTTGTCATTTAGAATTTTAGATTCTCGCTCAATTGTTTTTGAATTTGAAATAAATATATGTTGCGTTTGCTGTTCGCAACCATTGATGATGTGATGGAGATGATTCAAATCCTGTTGTTGGGGCTTGCTTTAACTGGGGATGTTAAAACCTACCATCACCTACTCCACCTACTACGCCTACTATCACCTACTACACACCTACCACTACCACCTACTACCACCTACTCCACTACATCTCCTATATAAGGAGCCCCTCACTATTTGTAATTAATAACATACATCAATCAATAATACATCAATTTTAACATGGTATCAGAGCTATAGGTTAAAGATCTTGGTGTTCTTCGCCTTCCGGCGGGCGGCAACCTTGCCTTGACCGCCCGCCGGATCTCAACCAATTCAAACCTCCCTCTCCCTCTCAGCACCTCACTGAAACACACCACCATTGCCTTCACTCGACACACACACACACTAGCTTTCACACACGACAGAGGCACATACCAGAGACACACAAACACCATCTCTCACCATCTGATCTTCAAAAATATCAATTTTTCATCTCCTGGATCCATGAATCTGTCGCTCTCTTCTCTCCTGCATTAAATTTGGGGCCCTCCTGGGTGACACCACCATCAAGAACGGACAGCAACACGTCCATGAAGTCTTGCTCAGCCTTGGCCTCGTCGGAATTTCTTTTATGCTTATGTTCCTCCAACCACCCTCGAAGCACACCGTCTAGTTCCTTGGCTGTCTTCTTCATGGCCTTCTCATAACCCTCTGAATCCAACCACCTCAAGAATGGAACCGCATCTGCCACCGTAAACACCCTGCCTGTCGTCGAACCAGTGTGTACTCAACGACGAAGATCCATACTATCTCTCTCTAGAATCAGAGAGTATTTGCTTCGAAACAGTGAACCCTGATCTTGGTGGCTGAATCGTTGATCACAGAATTGGCCCAGAGCATCTTCGTCCTTCTCACTGTTCAATATCTTAAAGTTACATCCAACATAATCATCATGTACCCCACTCTCTCTTTCTCTCATTTTTTTCACTTTCCAACCCACCAGCGCACATGCTTTCCTCCTTAATATATTATTGTTATTATTATTATTATTATTATTATTATTATTATTATTATTATTATTATTATTAACCCCAAAAAAAAAATAATAATAATAAAAAAAAACAACAACAACAACAAAATATACCGAACCCCATTACCGATTTTCACAAAACAGTGGGACAAAAAACCACGTGAACCACTTTCCTTATTTCCCCCATCTTTCATTTTGATTTCAAATTTATTCTTATTATTTCTTTCTTTATTTTTCTTTCACATTATTTTTAATCTTTTTCAAATTCCATTCATACCATATAGCTTTGCACACCAAACCATCTTTTATTCATCTCAGGGATCAACCTCGATCCACATTTTACACAAAAAAAAAAAATAAAAAATAAAAAATACACAAAACATCACAACCACAACAGCTTTGTTTTCTTTTCTGCAGCCGGCCACCAACCGACCTCACTTCTTCGCCTATTCCGCCGGTCTTTTCTTCTTGCCTCCGTCCTGGGCGGTCCTTGACGGTGCTGCCTCCGTGCTTCCTCGGCCACCCAGCAAGTTGCCTCCTGCCTGCTCCTCCACGGTTTTGTGGGTTTTGCCAGAACATGATGGATTGATTATAGTTGGTCCATTTCTTGATTGACTATTGTTGAAAGTGAAGGGTTTAGTGGGCTGTGCCAGACACATGGTGGATTGATTCCATTTGGGTTCATTTCTTGATTGATTGTTGCTGAGGTTGTAGAATTTGGGGGCTATGGAAGAAGAGAGGATTGAGGAGATCAGTGTTAGGTTGGTGGGCAGAACTGGTGGTAGGGATGGATCTGCCTCTGTCCAGTGGGTTGATGGCAGTGAAGTGGACTCTGAGTCCCTTCCGTGGTCACTGCTTGATGAAAATGAGAGTAAAGAATCTAGAGATGGGTATGGATCTGTCTGGAGAAGGTTAGTCAAGAAGCTCAAGAGGGTTGATTCATTTGATGTTGAAGCCATGGAAATTGCTGGTTTTCAAGATCACCATGCCAAGGTAAAAACAGCCTAACTTATTTAAAACCTATTCCTCTTCTAATAGTATATTTGTTAGTATAGTTTGGTTTTTCTTTCGATTTTATGATTTATCTAATTTTGATATTAAAATTCAAAATTAGCAGTTTATAATTGTTGTCATTTAGAATTTTAAATTCTCTCTCAATTGTTTTTGAATTGGAAATAAAGATATGTTGAGTTTGCTCTTCACAACGATTGATGATGTGATGGGGATGATTCAAATCCTGTAGTTGGGCCTTGCTTTAACTGGGGAATTTAAACCTAAATTGATACATAAGAAAGTAACAACTAATGATTGTGTGTACAAATGTGTTTGTTTAGGCATAGAAAAATCCTTTTTCACTGTAGATGTAAGTGTTTAATGGACAACTGAAAGGGTTTAGTAGTGTCTTCTAAAGAAGTCAATATAGTTACAGAGTGATTTCGAATTTCACTTTCTTTCCATTGTCTAGGAGCAATTTGTGCACTTTTTCTTGTGTTCTTTTCTTGTGATTGACTAAGAAGCAGAAGAACTATAATAATACATGCCTAAGAGTGTGTTTTGAAGTAATGCTAAAGAAGATGAGTTTTTAAGCCAGCATGAATTCAAGCTACTATTTGGGGCATGCAGCATTGGTTATTCTTCTATTTTAGTTCCAATTACAGTCCACGTTATGCCACTTTATGTTGGAACTATATTGATCTTCTTGTGTCTGAACTTGACATTGCCAGAATTGAACTACTCTATGCAATTGCAATGGTAATTTTGCAAAAACAATATCTCTTTGTTGGGGGTGGTGGATACTTTTGAACAATAATTACAAGATATAGTGATTGAGAAACACTAACATCAACAAGTCATTTATTTCCAAGCCCAAAATTACAAGTTCATGGCGCTTGGCAATATACTTCACAGGAAATACCTCCACTGAAAACTTTACAATGGATGTTATTAGGTGAAAAACATGACTATCAACGACCAAGGAGAATCAAGCAAATTGCATACTAACAGGATGTTGCTTTCAGAAGCCATTCTTTCTTCTTCTGTTTTTTTTTTTTTAATACAGCCTAAATATTCTACTTCAATGACAGTTTTTTCCTGAAATATATTAGCTCGGTAGGTTTTCCTGAGCTGTTTTATTTATTTATTTAATGCCCATACCATGATAAGGGCTTGTAGCTATATTGGTCGAATAATGAGAACCCTAATGATGCCAAACCGTCAGAGGTAGTTAGTTCAAGTAACTGTAAGCTCCATGATGCAAGCAGAAATAGAAATTATCCAAAATGTCAGGGTTCTCTTAATACTGCATTGAGAAGATATGTTTGCAAGTAAAAACATGCTAATTTTCTCTTACTAATTTTAATTGCTTCAAAATCAGGATCCTTCCCTTTGGCAAACTGTTGCATTGGCATTTCAAACACTCGGTGTTGTATATGGTGACATGGGCACGAGCCCTTTATATGTCTTTACTGATGTGTTCAGCAAGGTGCCTATCAAGTCAGATGTTGATCTCTTAGGGGCATTATCACTAGTAATGTACACAATTGCCCTGCTACCTTTAGCTAAATATGTTTTCGTAGTGCTCAAAGCTAACGATAATGGGGAAGGTATGTTTTCACTTCTCCAAAATATTCTCTTCTTTGTGCTCATGTTTCTGTTGACCATAAGACTGTATTTGGATCATGAATTTGGGTAGGGATTTAGAAAGGGAAAGGACATCCAAACACAGCCTAAGTATGTTGACTAATTTGTTACTCTATATATGCAGGTGGAACATTTGCTCTATATTCGCTGATCTGCAGGTATGCAAAAGTTAATTTGCTGCCAAATCGTCAACAGGCTGATGAAGACATCTCGAGTTTTAAGCTCAGATTGCCCACTCCAGAGTTAGAAAGGGCTTTGGGTATAAAAGAGGCCTTGGAACGGAGATCCTACTTGAAAACCCTTCTCTTGCTTTTGGTTCTGATGGGAACTTCCATGGTAATAGGAGATGGTATTCTGACCCCAGCAATATCAGGTAATTTGATTATTTCAAAACTCATCCCCAGAATAGTTTAGTGTGTGTAAATTTTTTTGGAGATTCATCATTGTTGGAAATTTCTAGAAGGCTTCAGCTCAACCGATTAAAACATTAGTTTTTGTTGTAACAAGGCTAATATTTGGTCTTACCACTGGGTAATCATGGATTGGCAACTCATAGTTGCAAGACATAAGATAACTGAAGAGTGAATGGTTTGAGATTCCCCCAGAACTCCACCTACAGAGATACTGTGTGAACTGGTTGTATTTTTACGGTCTTGCTAACGAGTGCCCCTGGGGCACAAAAAAATGACAAAAAGGATTATGCACACAGTATACATTTACTGAGTTGGAAACAACAAACCCAGTAAAACTTCTGAGCCATTCATCTGAAGGCATGATTTGAAGCAAAAACTGTGACTGCACATATGTTTATTGCAGTTTTCTTTTCCAGTAGTGTGTCAATTGTTGATGTGGAACTCATTGTAGCCATGGTCTGCTGAACTACTTTCACAAAAATATTATTATCATCTTTCCCTTCTACTTCTTGATAGTCTTGCTGCCTTAATCAAGTATGCCCAACCTCCCAGGGAAGGTTACCTAGAATTTTGTTTCCTGAATAGTGTGGATGTGTATGTATCATCATGTTTCTTTGTGGAATGATGATGATAAAGCTTGCTTTGATATTCAATGTCTAACTATGACATTTTTCTCTTGCAGTCATGTCTGCTGTGAGTGGTCTGCAGGGTGAAATTTCAGGATTTGGTACAAGTGGGTAAACTTGTTCTATTCACACTAAGATCTGCATTTTCAATAATTGAATTGTAGAGTATAGACTGAACTTTATTGCATGGATCACTTGTTTAATTTTGGGCAGAATGCTTTTGTTTCTGGCTGCTTGTGTCCTATATACCGGCATACAGTTGAGGAGCCCTTTGGCAGACCTTAAACCATGAATTGACTCAACTAACTGAGTGGCTGATTAAGGGTGTTTCGTATGCTCTGTTTGTTTGGGCAGAAAACATTTTATTTTCTACATTTCTGGTGTTTTGTGCAATGGAAAATGAAAGTCAACAAAAAATGTTTTTTGTGGTTAACAAGAAAATAAGCTTATTTGGATGGAAAGTGTTTTCCAGACTAAAGTCTTGCCAATGCCACCACACTACTACCAGCATCACCTCCACCACCACCATCGCCACTGCCCCTGCCACCGCCACCAACATCACCACCCACCATCACTGCTGCCCCCACTACCACTGCCCCACCACCACCACCACCACTAATATAATCACTAGCACATTAATTTCAAGGATGCAATGAAACATAGGAAAACTTTTTCTACGGAAAACATTTTCTGAAAAAAGTTTTCTATAGAAAAAAATTACCATTGGAAAATATTTTCTGCCAGAACAAATAGAGGGTTAGAGTGAAACAGATGTCCTATGAAATTTCAGCCAGAAGCTCTCAAGCATTCTTGTCTAACTATTGCGATGAAACGCTAGGAAAAATCACTGATGACATTTTGGTTGATTTTGTTTACAGATGCTGTAGTTATCGTCTCAATTGTTATCCTCATAGGGTTGTTTAGCATACAGCAGTTTGGGACTGGTAAAGTGGCTTTTGCATTCGCTCCTGCACTTGCTTTGTGGTTCTTTAGCCTGGGATGTATTGGACTTTACAACCTAATTAAGTATGATACCAGTGTTCTGAGGGCCTTCAATCCAGTTTATATTTATTTTTTCTTCAAGAACAACACAGTAAAGGCTTGGTCAGCTCTTGGTGGTTGTGTTTTGTGCATTACAGGTATGTGGAGCAAGCATATACTCCTTCCGAAGCATTTACTATATTTATACTCATTCTGACTTGACAAAATATGATTATATTACCCATTTGTAATCATATTCTGGTGAACAGTCTTTCGCATATGCGTAGGAAATTTAAGGTATCTCAACTCCTATGTGGGGGCACTCTTTTGTTTATTTTCCCCATTCAACTGTTCCACATACCAAAAATCTAGTTTAAGATCCTCAACAATAGGGACAGTTAATTTGTTAATGCCTCTATTGTGGTACGGAACGGTACGCTTAATGAGAGCATACATATACTTCATTCTAACATGCGAACTTGACTTTTTTAAGGTGGATATTGTCCTAAAATTATGCAATTATACTGACCCTGGAGTCGCAAGGAAAGTAAAAGAAATACAACTTGCCATATCCTCTTTTCACTTTTCTTTTTTGGTGTACGTAGGAAACTGGCTGCTGGATGGGGAGTTCAGACCATCACAAGTGAAGTTAGACCATGCCACTCATAATCCAGCTATGCTTTGTCGTACAGAATGTAGGGAAGCAATGTATTAGTAAAATATATGTAGCCTAGGTGAGAATGTTGAGGTAGATGCACCGGAAAATTAGGAGAGAGAATTAAGAATGATCGAATTTGTGAGATGTAGAGATAATGCCATTGAAGATAAAAGAAGAAAATTCGATTAAGATGGTTCAGTTATGTATAACAAAGACCAATTATTGCCTCAGGAAGAGTGACCCTATCCATATTGAGGGTAATGCTAGAGGACCAGGGAGATTAAAATTAACTTGAGATTATAAAGAAAGACATTTTAGCTTGCATTTAATTGAGATTATGGCCTTGATTGAGTGGAATGACAATACAAGTTCATGTAGCTGATCACATGTAGTTGCGAAAAGGCTTTGTTGAGTTGTAAGATCCAACTTTTCCAACAAGGTACTGCAGTCTGTTTACTCACAGGAGAAACCTAGCTATATCTAAGCTTCATCTATTTACTTTGAAGAATGAATTCCATTAGGATCACAATTAATTTGTCAATAATACTACCAGGTTTTGGTTCACAACACAAAGCATAGATGAACTTTTGCAGCAATTATGAAAAGAATAGTTTTATACAAGCAGAAAGTGTGTACAGAATTATGTGGTTTATTGTGGTCCATTCATTTAACAACATAAGACCTGTTATTATCAACATAATTTACTAGTGTGCTACTGCCACGTCATTCTGGAAGCAGATGTTGTATACAAATTCTGGTGAAATAGCATTTTCCTTATGAAAATAATCACCACTAAATAAGTAAGAAGATCCAAAAGCAATGGTACCTAGTTGTATTGGTAGACTACATAGATAAAAACACCAAAGAAGTTTCAAGTTAATGACAATTGGGTGAATCCTTCAGCCCTTGTGGTAGAACACTCATTTATCATTACAATAACAGTGTAATTTGCTGTTGTGATTTGCTTGTGCTGGACAATCTTAAAACTTTTTGATGTTTCAAATTGATATGATATTATGCCATTGGATTTCAAAATTGGTTAGAGAAATGGTAATATTTTTTTATCACCTTTAGTTTTTAAGTTGTTTGACCTATCTCATGTGGTTACAGGAGCTGAAGCAATGTTTGCTGATTTAGGCCATTTCTCTGTACCGTCAATACAGGTTTCCCTTTTGCAATATAGTTCCTGACTGATGACTTGGCTTGAAGAATGTTCTTTTCATATACATTCTATTGCTATAGCCCATTACATATGCTCTGTACTGATTGCCACAGATTGCCTTCACTTGTGTGGTATTCCCCTGCCTTCTGTTGGCTTACATGGGTCAAGCTGCATATTTAATGAAATACCCCGACTCAACGGAACGAATATTCTACGATTCTATCCCAGGTGATGACTGCTGCTTTATGGTTGCTCATATATTCTGAACTAAAAGTTTATTTGAGCAGATAATGTTTTGTACTTTTGAAAGATGGAAAAAAATTTCCAAACTAAAGTTTTAACAATGTCATCACACCACCACTGCCACCATCACCTCAACCACCCCACTACCACCACCACCACCACTGCTACCACTAATACAACCATTAGTTGTAAGATCGCAAATAGGAAAACTTTTTCTATGATAAATGTTTTTGGCCAAAACATATGGAGTGTTAATGAAGAGAATCTTTGTCTACATTCTCGGTTGGGAGCAAGCTTTTTTAATAACTTTTTGGGTTTTTGGCTAAAATATGATGTAAAAAAAACTAGTATGTTTGGGATATTTTTTGGTTTTTTACGAAAAGATGTGCAAAAGTAGAGAGAAAATGGAATATTTGACTTTTTGGTATAGATTGTTAGCTTTTTGATTTTTTTAGTAATTTTTTGGTTTTTTGGCTAAAAAAACCACTTGCCAAACGAGGCCTAACTGGTTAATTTGACAATTCCATATATGTGTGAACAAACCAGATGGCTTTTTCTGGCCCATTTTTGTGCTAGCCACAATTGCTGCTATAATTGCCAGTCAAGCCATGATATCTGCTTCATTTTCGTGCGTCAAGCAATCCATGGCTCTTGGATGCTTCCCAAGGCTGAAGATCGTTCACACCTCGAGGAGGAAGATGGGTCAAATTTACATCCCTGTCATCAATTGGTTTCTAATGATCATGTGCGTGATGGTGGTTGCAACCTTTCAGAGCACCACAGACATAGCAAATGCATATGGTAAAAGCTCTTCTTGTTTAATGCATTCTTAAGGTATTATTTGAATAGCTATAAAAGTTCCGCCCAAAATTGTTTAGGGCAAATACTTTTTTTAAAAACAATTCCAACATATCTGATTCCCAAATAATGTAAATATTGCCAACACAATGAAGAATTCTTGAAATTTGTAATAATTGAGGGCCGACATCGTTTGCTTGATGATGCATTTCTTTGACTCATATTCATTCCTAAGCTGTTTATCCTATTTAGTCCCCAGTTAAGGAAAAAATTGTAGTACCAATAGCTTCCCATCAATTTTTGTGACTAGATTACTGGTAATAGCTTGAATTGTTTCCATGGCTTAAATATCACCTGAAACCAAACCAAGCCTTGTGTCCTAACCTAAAAGGGTGCAATGTGGGGACTTTCCAGGGGTCACCCATTGTAGTGCTCCTCTCCCCCAATAATGCTTAACTTGGAGTTCTAATGGGATTTGGTGCAATAAGGTTGATATGATCGGTTTTCATCAATAAAGTTTATTTTTGCTGATAAAAAAAATGCTGATATGATCACACTCTAAATTTGACACTATGCTCTTCTTCTACTTTATTTCGTTTGGAGAAGAGAAAAGACAAGCTTAGAGTTATTGATATTTATACGTGACTTTTTACTAACGAAAATTAATTTGTTCTTGCAGGCATAGCAGAAGTCGGTGTCATGGTTGTCAGCACTACATTGGTGACACTAGTGATGCTTCTAATTTGGCAAACCAACTTGTTTCTGGCTCTTTGTTTCCCGCTTGTATTTGGGACGGTAGAGCTTATGTATTTGTCTGCAGTTCTAACAAAAATCAAAGAAGGTGGTTGGCTTCCTCTTGTTTTTGCTTCTTGCTTCCTCTGCGTGATGTACACTTGGAACTATGGAAGCGTGTTAAAGTACCAAAGCGAGGTGAGGGAGAAGATCTCAATGGATTTCTTGCTTGAACTTGGATCCACCCTTGGAACCGTTAGGGTACCGGGAATTGGATTACTATACAATGAGCTCGTCCAAGGGATACCCTCAGTTTTTGGGCAGTTCTTACTCGACCTTCCAGCCATTCATTCTACAGTAGTCTTTGTTTGCATCAAGTATGTTCCAGTTCCAGTTGTCCCCCAAGAAGAAAGGTTTCTATTTCGAAGGGTTGGCCCTAAAGATTACCATATGTTCCGTTGTGTTGCTCGATATGGTTATAAAGATGTCAGGAAGGAAGATCACCGTGCTTTTGAGCAGCTTTTGGGTGAAAGCCTCGAAAAGTTTTTGAGAAGGGAGGCTCAAGATCTTGCCTTGGAGAGCAATTTGGAGGAGATGGACTTGGATAGTATTTCAGTGAGGTCAAGGGGATCTGAAGTCCAGGAGCTGAGGATTCCATTGATGAGTGATCAAAGATTTGAAGAAGCAGGAACTTCTATATCAGATGAATCTGTCTCAGCTTTGCCATCTAGTGTTATGCCATTGGATGACGACGATCCAAGACTTGAGTACGAGCTTTCAGCTCTCCGCGAAGCTATGGACTCAGGATTTACTTATTTGCTTGGACATGGCGACGTGAAGGCAAAGAAAAGCTCGTTGTTCATCAAGAAATTAGTTATAAACTACTTTTATGCATTCCTAAGGAGGAATTGCAGGGGAGGCGCGGCGACTATGAGGGTTCCTCATACCAATATAATGCAAGTTGGGATGACATACATGGTTTGATCTGCTGTTTTTTGGAATGGGAATTTGGGAAAATTGCCTGATTTTCAGCAGAAATATTGATGGTTCAAAAGCTCGAAAAAAGACTTGTTTGAGTCAAATTTATTTATTTATTTATTTTAAATTGTACTGTAATATTGTTATTCTTCACAGCCCAACACGGAATCTTTGTGAACTTGTTATTGTACTCGTGGAATCTTTGTGAACTTGTTATTGTACTCGTGGAATTTTCAATTTGATTGAAATAAGTTCTTAGTCATTGCTGCTTCCATCATTGGTATCTTGAGTTTGAGTTAGATGTATATATCTTTGAGGTTGTATTTGAATTTTGGATTCGTTAAAGGACGATAAAAATATATATGTATACTCATTTTTTTTTTCTTATCAGTAAAAGATTAGAATCATATATTTTCTAAATCATGAATGTCAAAATAATTTTGCTTAGCACATCATGAATGTCAAAATAATTTTGATGTGGATATAATGGATATAATTCTAAATCTTCTCAAAATAATTTTCTCATTTTTTGACAAATATACTTTCATGAATGTATAGTATAATGATTTCCAGATTATCCATTTGAAATACTATTTTTCTTAAAAAATTTAATAAATAAACTGTTTTCAATTTTTGACTTTGCATACCTCTAAGGAGACAAGTTCGTTGTGTCAAATATCAAACATCAAAAGTTGCCATCCTCTCCAAGTGCATGTCTTGGCCTAGATAGTCCCAAAGGTGAAAGAAAGCATATACCTAACCTAACCATTTTATTTAACTTTTGATGTGGATATTTTTTGAGTCATTCTAGGATATACACTTTTAAAATGGTGTTGGTGTGTACCATATATAAATTATGATATTTATAGTGTTAATTATTAAAAATATTATAATTAAATCATTTTTAATCATAACTAAAAAAGAAATAATGAATGTCTTTTATTTGTTGCATTCCTTTATTTGCTTATGAGGATCTTATGTTATCTAATTTTTTCATTATTTTGTATCACTGAATATATGAAAAGACATTATTTATTTTCATTATTTATAAATAATAAATTAATTATAATTATCAACGTAAGAGATGACACAAACAATGACAAAATATTAGTCAATTGCTAGTGGCAAATATGGTTAGTCAATATCAAATATAAAAAGTTGAGGATGAGTTTTTACTTTCTTGATTCTTTTTTTTTTAGGGAGATCTTTTTAATCAAATGGGTGATTATTCAGTATTTTTAGAGTATGGATACGTGGTGCTTCATAAGATTTTGATTGTTAGAGAGAGAGATAGAAGCCCATGATTTATGTTAGGGATAGAAAAACGACATGAGGGCTAAGTAATTAGTGATTGACTTGGAGTATAGTCACGTAGTGTGTTCGGGATTATTGAATAATTTTCCCAAATGCAGTAGGAAAGAGTTGCAATAAACGGAGCTCGAAAATATTATGTAAATTTAAATTTAGTGTGATTCAGATTACATTTTGAATGAATCTAATCCATATAATTACTTTATGAATTATTTTATTTTTACTATGTATCATTGTTGAATGAACAAAGCTGCATTTATAGGGAAGATATGTCCATGCTTCATTAACCCAACCCAAACTAAATAAAATATTGAAAGATCATTGCCAACCACTTTTGATATCCTAAATTTTTTTTCGGTGGTGTTAGAGACCACTAATTTAGTGGCTCTAAACCCACCACTAATGAGGTGAAAAAAAAAAAAAAAAAAAACTATACAAATTGTGGCAGTGGGTGCCACATCACTAGTGGGAGCTCTATTTTCTATTTTTTTTTTAAAGAAAGTGTGACAACGTGAGTTTTATTCCACCCAACCCAAGATGCAATTTTAGGCTTATTTGGAAAAGTCAGTTAAAAATTATTATTTTTTTTATTTTTTTTGGTCATATCACTTCTCTATTTTTTTCATATTAAAAAAAACTAATAATAATAATTAAAAAAAAAATCTTTTAACCTACTCTCAAAATATGGAAAAAAAAAATGAAGTTCAAAGAAAATTTCAATCGAATCAATGTTATATGGAGCTAGCCCCACATCTTAACCACTTCTTGAAATATCTTGACAAGTAGAGAGAATGGTGGGTCTAACCCACCATCGCCCACCACCCACGTGTGCTGACCTTTTATCATGATTCATGAGTCATGGTTATCTGCGGAGCAATCACCAGTTTTGGGATTGAATTTTTTTAGATATTTTTATTGATATTTTTTTTATCTGTGGAGCAATCACCAATAAAAGCCAAATTTATAAAAAATATATATATATATATATTCACTTGAAAAAAAAAGGTTAATTAGTAGTTTTAGTTTTAGATTTTTATTTATTTATTTATTTTGTGTGTGTTTTTGATGAACTTTTTTGAATTTAAAAAAAAAAATTTAGATCCTTTCACATCAGATAGACTTGCGAAGTAAATTGTTTTAATACGAATTCTAAAAAAAACAATTATTAAATCAAAAAAATAAGAAGGTATATGACTTTTTAGGTGAATTTTTTTAAAAATGAGACCTATTTTCAGTTGTGTAAACTACACCTACACGTCATGATTCACTTCAGAAACAAATATTTTTGAGTAATAGTTCATTTAAATTTGTCTTAAAAATTTATTAAGTTTTAAAATGGGCTTATATTTTGTAGTGTTTTAGAAAGTTGGTAAAAAATTAATTTTTTAATTTTTAAATAATTTTTTTGACTAAAAAAATTAAAAAACAAAAAAATTGACTTTTTTTTTGACAACTTCTCAAAAGACCCCATTTGGTTGGTTAAAATGAAATTAAATGATTATTTCATCATAATATATATTGTCACATCTCAAGTACCAAAAACAAATTAAAAAATATTTTATTTACCACATATCTTTAGCTCAAAACCACACGTTTGGCATAAGTTTTTTGATTTTTGACTATTTTAATTATAAAAAGATAAAATAAATTAAAAAATTAATAAAATGAAATATTATATTCAAATAATAATCATTTATTTTTTTTATAAAAATAAAAAAAATTAAAAAATTTATTTTAAACAAGACTTTTTAACTTGAAATTAAAAATCTAAAAAATTAAAAAACCAACATAGGCTAAATAATTTCCTTACACGCATTCATATTGGGAAAAGAGTTTTTGTCATCGCTCAAAATTTAGGTAAAGCAAATCAGAGGACCCCAGCGCTCATAGATTCATAATTTTCTTCATCAATCAAAGGGGTTGAAAAATAGAAAAATAAAAATCTATCACACTAAAAAATTTGGTACAGACTCATTCGTCATTAATCATAGCATTAAGGCTATTTTGAGAAGATGGCTACAATTAATTTTTTGGTAAAAAATTACTTATAAATTTATTATAAATAGTTTTTTTACGAGAGAGGAAGTAGGTTATAACCCACCTCCCAAAAGAGGCCTAAATAGATTTGTCATATCTTGTAGATAGGTTTATCTATCAAAAAATGTTTGGGAGCTCTAAATTGGGAGCTCTAAAGGAACTCTAGAGAGTGGGTCTCACTCATGATGTGATGTTTTGGCCTTAAATTTTTTTTTTTTGAATTTTCACTTCATTAATAGTTAATTAGTATTCCCAAATTAGTGGGATGAATCATTGCTATTATCTACCTTATAGTTTTGGGGTACCCTATTAAAAATTAGAGCAACTCTCCAATCATCATTGTCCTCGTTTGCGAAGAGGCTTTTTTAGTAATTTTTTGATTTTTGATTAAAATATGATGTAAAAAAATTAATATGTTTGAGATGACTTCTTGATTTTTTACGAAAAGATATGGAAAAAGTAGAGAGAAAATGAAACATTTGACTTTTTAGTATGAGTTGTTGGTTTTTTACCTTTTTTGATACCTTTTTGAATTTTAACTAAACGGGCTGGTTCTCAAGCGAGGCCTAACTATGTCTTATATTATCATCAAAATAAACATATTTTTATTTAATACCCTCATTAATAATTTTTACATTAATAATATTTTTACTAACTATTCTTTCATAAATAATTATATCCAACTTAATCCGTCAAATGAAAATAACATAAATGAGTTGTTAAAAATGGGGGGAGTGGTCCGTACGATTTGGAAGACGTCCCATCAGTCGTACACGATGGACCAATGAGAAACCGAACAGCCATGGCCAACTTTGAATTAGAACATAAGCCACCAAAATTAGAATAATTAATGGTTAGAATAAAGCCAAGATTCATTTATTATGTGGCTTCATAACAAGAAATTCAAATATACACCTTAAATTTGAAATTCTAGATAACTTTTTGATCATTTTTTTTGGATGCATAGATTTTTCTCTTCATTTTTTTGCCGTTTCTAGATCATCTTGAGCTCATGAAAATAAATTACCGATAATCGGTAAAGAGTCTTATGTCTCTCTTTCTCTCTCTCACACACAAAAAAAAAGAAAAAAAAAATCAAAAATCAAAACACTTAAAGGACATGACAAATTATAAATTCTTAATTTTAAATTTCAATACAAAACAACAACAAAAATAAAATTTTAATAATATAGTTCTATTGCATACATTAAATAAATCTAAATCAAGTCAAATACAAATCAAAATTGAGTAACTTAATCGATTTTAAAATCAACATTAGCCCAAATAATAATTAGGGGACGAAAATGATCCAAGACATATCTTCTTTGGTTTCATTTTGCTCGTCTTATTATATAAATTGATAAATTATTTATGTTATTTTTGAATTATAAATTTAAATGAAAAAATTATAAAAATATTTAATTTTTTAAATTTATATTTAATTTGAAATCTCTATTAAAATATAAGATCCAAAGATAATCCGAGGGATATACTAATCATTTTACCTAATAATGTAGAGTTTTTACTAGGATAATATTTTCTGTATTTTTGTGAGGGAAAATGTCCTGTAACTCAAATTTTGTGGCTCAAAAGTGGTTCAAATGGCCAAAACGACGTCGTTTTGGCCATGTTTATGTTATTCTGTACTCAAAACGACGTCGTTTTGGCCATTTGAGCCACTTTTAAGCCACAAAATTTGAGTTACGTAGCATTGTCGTTTTGTGAATCTTGTGTATGGAAACCTACTCTGGCAACTTACACAAAACGTTTAGTAGGTAGTAGGTACCATAAAATAATAATATTTTTATCTATCTAACCCCTAAGCATGACATACACAATTGTTTATAGTGATGTTTACATGAAAAAAAAAAAAAAACAAAAAATTTATTATCTAATCTAAATTCATTCTATGGTATTATTAATATGGGTTCTGTTTAAGTGTGTAACCCTCTTAAGGTTGCACATCATATGCAACCCAATTGTTAGCCGTTAGATTACAATAATTGATCAAGACCATTGAATTGTTTAATCGTGACAAAATTAAAACCGGGGCAACCGGTTAATGCTTGTATTTGCATGATTGCATCCCACTCACTCTCTGTATTTCGTTTCTATCTCTCTCTGTGTAAGGTTGAGTCAGTGTAACCCTTGATTTCCATTAATAGCGAGAAGCCCCTGCTGGGTTGGTTCCATTGACGAAGCTCTGTAGGGAACAGTATAACGGGCGATTTCCAACAACAACGGAACTACAAGGCTGTGTTGGTTCCATTGCTGAAGTGAAGCCCTTCTCTCCAACTAGATATGAGGTATGGAGCTGTCTCCCTCTTTCTGTCTCCCTCTCTATCTCTCTGGCCTCTTCACTTCAGCTATTTTCCCTCAACTAAACCCTCATCCTAACTTCAACCGCTCTACGCTTCGCTCAAACGGAAACCCCTCCATTGGCAACTGACTTTTCTCTTTCTCAGGCGAGTGTTTGTGTTTGCACAAACAACTAAACCGTGTGAAAATGTCGTGTTTGTGTTTGTGTTAACATTTTTCGGTCATCAAGTAATTGTTTGTACTAATGTCATGTGCAGTATGGCCCCAGCAGAAGTTAAAAGGGAAGGTGATGATTATGACATTCCAAATGAAGCAGATGACATTCGTTTGATGAATGAAAGTTGGCCAGAACCTTATCATGGTTGCGAAGCTGGTCTGAGCAATGAAGAAGCCACCAACATGAACGTTGAAGATGGCGGAGCCGATGTGAAAAAAGAAATGGTTGACGATGCTCATCGCAATGACATGGTTGGTGATGTTGAACGTGCTATTCTGGAACAGAAATTTGATTCGGTCGAAGATGGAGAAGCTTTTTACAATGCGTATGCTAAAGCCAAGGGATTTAGTATACGAAAATCCAGATTTAACACAAATAAAGAGGGAAAGGTCGTTAGTAGGCTGTGGTTGTGTTCAAGGGAAGGTCAGAGATTACCAAAATACTTGGACCGTATTGCTGAGAAGAGCAGAGCTCCCAAGGCACTAACAAGAGTAGGTTGCAAAGCCCAATTTCGCATACGGTACGATGTAGATGCTGGTAAAGGGGGACAGTATGTTGTGACTCACTTCGTCGCAGACCACAACCATGAATTGGCGGAACAACATTGTGTGATGTATCTGAAGTCACATCGCAGTTTAAACAACGCCGACAAAGCTCAAGCAATGGCTATATGCAACGTCGGTGTGATGACTAGCCAAATCATGGACTATATGGTAAATCAATCCGGGTCTTATGAGAATATTGGTTTCATCCGTACGGATCTGCACAACCATATTCAAGCCGAACGTAGAGCAGAAGTTGATGATGGTGATGCGCAGGGTGCGTTGGTTTACCTATGTGCAAAACTTGATGTTGATGCACGTTTTTTTTACAAGTATGATGTGTGTAACGATAACAAGTTACAAAATTTGTTCTGGGCAGATTCGAAATCGCGGGCCGACTACGCAAAGTTTGGTGATGTGTTGATATTTTACTCAACTTACAAAACCAATGCATACAAGAAACCTTTTGTCATGTTGGCTGGTGTGACTACCCACTTTAAGACCACGATATTTGCATGTGTTTTGCTAGCTAATGAGACAATTGAGACATACACATGGGTTTTGGAAACATTTATGGAGGCGATGAACAATAAAGCACCTGTGTCCGTACTGACAGATGGAGATAAGGCAATGCGAGAGGCAATCAGAAAAGTATTTCCAGACACAAGACATCGATTATGTAATTGGCATCTTGGGAAAAATGCTGTTTCAAATGTTCACATAAGTGGCTTTGCACATGTTTTCAAGCAGTGCATGGACATGGAAACAGATGAGACAAAGTTTGAGCATGGTTGGACGACAATGGTCGAAAAATTTGGACTTCAAACCAACAGTTGGGTGTTGAAGACATATGAAAAGCGTCATATGTGGGCTGAGGCACATATGCGTGGACATTTCTTTGCTGGGATGAAGAGCACTCAGCGCTCGGAGTGTATGAATGCTTATTTCAATCCCTTCCTCCAACACAAATTGAAGCTATATGAATTTGTTAGGAACTATGATCCGGCTCTTGTAAGGATAAGGTATAACGAGGCTGGAGATGATGTTGAAAAAAATAACACTTTTCCGGTATTAATTACTCCATTGCGAGATATAGAGAGACATGGGGCTGAGCTATTCACCCGAAATATATTTAGAATGTTCCGTGATGAAATCTTAGAAGAGGGGAAGTTGAATGTCAAGGACGTGTTCCCTTTGCCGGATGGTCAGAAATGCTACTATATTCATAAGTACAAAGTGAAGGATAGATCATGGATAGTAACACACAGTCCAGTGGATGCTACAATGAGATGTTCTTGCATGAAGTTTGAGTCATTGGGGCTACCTTGCTGTCACATGATATGTGTTATGAAAGCCGAAAATTTAATGCAAATTCCCCCAACTTGTGTGCTGCATAGATGGACAAGGGCTGCAAGTAAGGATGGCCAGCAATAGCCTCAACCCTCAATTGATAGCACTGTAACACAGACGGCCCGATATGGGATATTGAGTTCTTCGTACAATGAAATGTGTTTCTATGCCTTACAATCAACAGAAGGTTTCAAAGAGGCTAGGGATGCATGTCTTCTAATGACGAGCTGAATGAAAGAGTTATATGAGAGGAATCTGAACGATGGGAATGGAGACAAAGGGAAACATTCATTCCCTCGACAATTTGGAGTAGAAGATCCTGATGTTGTGAAGACAAAGGGGAACTCGGGGCGGGCCTCGTCCACCTGTCGAAGACCAAGAAAATGTGGGAATTGCAAATGCATTGGGCACACAAAGGGAACGTGTCCTAAGGTTCGGTTTAGCCGAACAGTGGGTAGTAACTCAGATGCAGATACAACCCACATAACTGACCGTGAGTACAATGCGGAGTCATTGCCCGTTCACTGCAAAACTAGGTTGGTGGATCCAAGTGCACTGCACATTAAGCAACGGCGACTATTTTTCGATGCTTCTCCTGATTCCAAGCAGCTTGTGGGCCAATACGGTAGTGTTGAAACAGTAGTGTGCAAAAATGATTAGACCACAATTGATGAGGTGAATCAGGTAATTTTATAATTCGTATGATTTACTTATTCCCTTAATTTATTAGGTAGGCAATACTAGCTATTGAAAACACATGTAACTAATGTATGTAGTTTTCATTTTGCACGGATTGTTGTACGTAACGTGTAAATAATTAGTTACGTACAATGCCAGGAAATGGCACAACGTTACTTATGTACAAGGCCACGAGTTGTAAATTTTCCATATTGTTTAGAGTGATGTTGTCATTTGTATTTGTAGTGACTTGTCATTTTGAAAACTAATTGAAGGTGAGATATATATGGGTTGTCTGTGTATTATTTTGGGTGGAAAATTGGCTTATGTCTGTATTCCAAGATTCCTATTGCGGTTTGCTTGTTTCTGTTCCATATTTGGTTGGATCTAACTGAAGGGTTTTTTGCGGTGTGGTTTATCAACTAACGATGTGTTTGGCTTCGTATTGATTTATTATGACTTGTTTCGGTAAACTTCCCATATTGTTTAGAGTGATGTTGTCATTTGTTATGACTTCCTATTACATACCAGCACATGCATTGTGCATATAATCCAAGTGGCAGTTAATTTTGGGTGTTACTTGAAGAAAGTAACCCAACGAACTCGTTACTTTATCTCCATGCCGATTGCTATATGAATTACGAGTTACGAACATGAGTTGTGAAATTATTTCATGTTAACTATGAAAGTGATTGGTTTATTGTTAGTAAAATCATGGTGGGCCTATATCGACAGCAACGAAGCAGTAATTTAAAGTTGACAAGTTAAAGAAGAAAATCAAGTAATTGCGGTTGTTGTTGTGTTGTTTGTAACAAAGTAGAAAGTAGAAGGGAAAAAACTACTCAGAAGTTACAATGTAGAAAGTAAGTTGTTGTGTTGTTGTTCATGTCCTCTCTCTCTGCAAACATTCTGCCCTTTATAACTATTATTTCCCACGATCCCATGATATGATCTGCCGATTCTGCAACTGCTTCTGTGCAACTTCTGTAACTGCACGGTCATTTCCGTGTCTTGAAACCACATAAAACCTTCACTTGTACCTGTCGAAGTGCATATAATTGAAGTTGCCACCTGTGCCCAAGTCCTTTTAGCCTTTCCTCGACAGATATAGACTCCCAATTCGTTCATGTTTTCTCTTGGAGGCTGGCCACTAAATCCATGAGCACTGCCAGTAACTGCTCCAGCGCGTAAGTCAAGTGGCACGCAAGATTCAATGTTAGTTGATAACCCTTGTCTTTAGGTGGACTTGCCATGTGTCCTCAATTAAATGGAGCAACTGTTGGCAGGATGTGGGAAAAATAGGTGCAAAGAGGAATTTTTTAAAAATAACCAAACATAATTTAGTTGAAAATATAAGTAAACTTTTTTAAAAAAAAAAAATAGTTTCCATTTTTTTGATTATAAACCCAAGATGTATAGTTTGTTTTTGATATAAATAAGTTGAGTTATTTGGTTACGTAAAATGTAGGACAACAATTGTGTTTAAGTCATTACAATACATAAAAAGGTTATTTCAAACATATTTTCAAGTTTACCGACATTGAATATATTTTGATTAAATTACAGGAAAAATTCAATATTTGGCAGAGTTTGATGATTCAAAGTCAGGGGCAGTAACAGTGAGTGGCCAAGTGTTGTGGTTCAGTGGCCCAGTTTGCAAGGATTGTGGTTGTGTTTAGTGGACAATATTCTGTCGATTTTTGTCTCATAATGATGAGGGACATGCCCCACAATGGTGAAAAGGAAGGTCGATAGGGAAGAGTCAATATTTGGCAGAGTGGACTTGAAGATTCGAAGTCAGGGGGCAGTTACAGTGGCAGTTATGGTGTAGACATGTGGGATCATGCAATGATGGGCCACAAAAACAGTATACAGATATAGAAACCAACGATCTCCCTTCTAGGCTTTCCAAGTATACTAAACCTTCACTTCTATCTGTCGATCTCTCTTTCTTGTGTTTATTTCATGGCCACCAACTGTTTGAAACTTTTGTCGACAGAGCAAGGCTCCTGTTTTGTCTCATGCTTCCTCCTGAAAGTGTGCCCACTAACTCATAATGATGAGGGACATGCCCCACAATGGTGAAAAGGAAGGTCGACAGGGAAGAGTCAATATTTGGCAGAGGGGACTTGAAGATTCGAAGTCAGGGGGCAGTTACAGTGGCAGTTATGGTGTAGACGTGTGGGATCATGCAATGATGGGCCACAAAAACAGTATACGGATATCGAAACCAATGATCTCTCTTCTAGGCTTTCCAAGTATGCTAAACCTCCACTTCTATTTGTCGATCTCCCTTATCTTGTGTTTATTTCATGGCCACCAACTGTTTGAAACTTCTGTTGACAGAGCAAGGCTCCTGTTTTGTCTCATGCTTCCTCCTGAAAGTGTGTCCACTAACACCATGACTGGTGCTAAAAACTTCCCCCATCACTTCTAGGTGACCCACATGCAGAGAGCCCACTTTCAGGTGGTGGACATTCCTTCAGACTTGGCCACGTGTCCTTGATTAAGTGGACCATCTGTCGACAGAGACTGGCAAAACTTGGTGCAAACAATGGCCCCCTTGTTCAAGTTAGATATCATATGAATTAACCTTGCGGAAGTGATTGAGACCCCCTCCAATCACCACTTGCACCACTACCCCACCCCCCACCCTCCCCACACACGTGGGGGCTGGTGAATGGAGGAGAAGGAAAAAAAAAGAAGAAATTTTTTTTAAAAAAAACTGGCCAATCAGAGAGAGAGGGGGTCATAGGGGTGCCCCCCTTGTGGGGGTCCAAGTCATATGATATTTAACTTCAACAAGGGGGCCATTGTTTAGGCCCAATACGGGCCCAAAACAAACATAAACTACAACCCAATATAAGAGCATTTAAATATACTGGCCCTATCATAAGCTATAAAAGACCTACATTTTCAACTTCAAACCACTTCATTTCCCTCTGATTCGAACTCCCCAGACTATACTCCTTCTTCTCAAGCATTGTTGTTCAAAACCAGAGCACCACAAAACCCTAAGCCATGGCGTCGAAAAAATCTCAACCATTTCCATCTGAGGAGAACAATGAAGACCTACTCCGCTTCCCAGACCCTATCAGAGCACGTATCGCTCCTCTAAAATTTGGTGCAACCCTATTGCCTAGCACAAGCTCTATCGCTAAGGCTACTCTAGGCCCTACCTTCGCGTCTTACTTCCCAGACGAGCTAACTCCATACTATCCCCTTGGTAATGGTGAAAACTTTCTTCTTAACCAACCTGGACTTAATTGGACTAACTGGAATGTCAGCAAAAACCCACTCAGATCGTGGAGGTTACCAGACTCTGTTTGGCGAAGCTGGGCCAGGAGAATTGAAGGTCACGACGCTGAAGTATGGAAGCACCAGGGCATTAGTGAAGCAATTAGACTGTCGACTAAAAATTATGACATGTGCAAAGGGCTGATTGCTGCTGCTGCATGCTTTTGGTCACAATCTTGTAACTCCCTACTCCTCAATTTTGGTATGATTTCCCCTACCATCTTAGATGTAGCTCACTTGATTGGTCTCCTAATCTTGGCCAATCCAATTTATGCTCTCCTTGAGCCTCCAAAAGTGACCTTTACTTTAAACACTGACATGTGCTATACAGATTTTGCCCAAAAATACAAAGGCAAGCCTGGTTCCCCTGTCCAGGACAAAGAAAGAATTGCTTTTTACTTACTTTGGCTTTGTGAGTTTCTTTTTTGTGTCCTTGGTGTAGACGCGCCCCGAAGGCTTCACACTACGTTACAGTCGGACTCAAATGCCACGGTTCTTAATCTGATCTCACAATGTGCAATGTGAGATTGATAAATCACCAAAGAGTCCAAATCTGGCAAATCGTTTTGAAAAATTGATTTTTGTAAAGAAGTGCCAAACATGGACTGCTTTGCCAGATACAGAGTCGCCACCAAAATATTTATTTTGGAGAATTTAGGAAACCCTGACTCGTGCCTAAGGCCACGTGTCCGTCATCACCAAAGTTGCCTCGGCTTGGGAACTTGGGTACAATTGGAGAAGGTCATCTATGAGCACCCTCGCTCGCCCGATCAAAGATCGGCCTTTACTAACATGATATCTTGTTTTTGAAAACACATGAGTTCTTATTTCGGTTATTAGCCTAGAATTACTATGTGATACACACAACACACAAGTATAGACTAGATCACCTAAGTTGGAACAAATCATCTCATGTTTGTTTGTTTGAAAATGGTTTAAAGGTGCTACTCGCAAGTAGGCTAAGACGTGAATTTTGCCACCCTCGAGTGGGCTTAGAAAACATGATTTTGCCACAATCAAGTGGGCTTAAAACTCGCATTTCAATGAATTGTTCCAATTCAAGTAATCTAACCTTCACCCACAGGCATTCAGCCAGTTATATCATATAA